TCCGTGGGCTACAAGGTAAAATATTCCATAATATATTAAATGATTTTGCATCTAACATTGAAAAATATGGATGAATATCAATGGAACAAATATGAAGATTTGTGTAGGGTTTACTTGTGGAATTCTCCAAATCTTCATCTAGCTATGACTTACAGTGAGTATAAGACAATGAAAAAGATATAAATCCACTTGAATGCTTAGTTCTATAAATAAGAAGGGCTCTCCAAAACTCTCATAGCAGAGAAATTCTTTGAATTCAAATTTAATACGAATTCAATTAATTAAACTTGAGAACATAAGGAACAAGCTAAAAGATGATAAATCTAATATATCTGATAGTCTTTTTGTCGGTCTTGTGTTGAGTAAAATACTTGCTGAATGGAGTTCTTTCAAAACTGAAATGCACTAGACCTGACATAGCCTTTACAGTTAGCATGCTGAGTCGTTTCACTAGTAATCCTAGTAAAGAGCTTTGGCATGCCCTAGATAGGCTTATAAGATACCTCAAAGGTACTAAAGATTATGCTCTACACTACTCTAGTTATCCTTCAATTGTGTTTAGAAAAAAAAAATAGTAAATCCGCCAGTGGATATGTATTCACTTAGGGTGGAGCTACTATTGCTTAGGAATCCAAAAGATAGACTTATATTGCAATGTCGTCTATGGAATCAGAACTCTTTGTTTTAGCCTTAGCTGGGAAATAGGCAAAATGGATAAAGAATCTGAGACATGCTTTGTTGAATTATCTGAGAGAACAAAGAGTTATCACCTTAATTGACGTGAGATCGAAGGATAACTTGGTCGATGCTCTCATAAAAGGTATGCCTAAAGATCGATTATTCTAAACAGTAGGGGAAATAGAGTTAAAGACTATATAGAAAAGTCTTAATTATCATTTACTTACCTTTTAATTGTGAGTTTTGAATTATCGAATCATCCTTTTGTTGGCCAAATGATAAGCACTGTTTATATGTTTCATCGATGTTCATGGTTGCTGATTAATTTGAAAAGGGTAAGTTGTCTCATTCCAAACTTGATGAAGATAACTTGAACTTGATTCAAAGGTTCTACCTGGGAAACTTGTGTCATTTCAAACTTGATGATACAATCCAACCAGGTTGGACCATCCTTTTGGTTAAATGATCTCATTCCAAACTTGATGCTAGATTATTTGACTTGGAGGAATCATTAATTGTGACATTCAAAATTGAAACATTGAAATAGTTTTTTGCATAAGAAGGATGTGGGTCTTGTTCTTAATTGAAACTTGACTTCACATGACTAGGTTATTGTAAGTGACTTTACTATGAGTCCTATTCATTGAAACTAGACAAAGGTAAATCTCTTACAAATAAACTTAAGTGGATGGCTCTTTACAAAAAAACTGTTTAGGATTTGTTCATAATTTATGAAACTGGCTTGATGCTTATGAACTTGATATTACGATGCTTTATAACATTAATACATGTTTTTCTTTTTGTCTGATGATAGGATGCTAAGTTCTTTTAGTTGAACTAGACATCTTTGGTAGATTATTCAACCGACTGAATTCATAATAATATGAAATTCATATTTGATATTCTACAGAGGATGACAGAGATGGAGGAGAGCTTAATGAGAGGGATCTTGACCAAGATCACCTCCTTGATGAATGAATATGTCATTTAGAGTATGTGGGGACTTGACAGTTCACCCGCTATTGCCCATTTTGATGGAGTCTATTTATTTGAGAATTACATTTTGCTATCTTTATTTTATGAACATTGTTGATTGTGAACTTATTTTGAATGTTGAAATTTGGATGAGTTTAGATTGAATCTAAAACTCTAACTAATTATTTTGGTATGTTGGTCTCAAAACAGATTCATGATAATGATGATTTATTTATTTAGATTGCAAATAATGATTGACTGTAGTATCTTACTATTAAAACTCTTTGATTGATCTAAGTTAGTTGTCTTGGACTGGATGTAAATGATTATACTTGTTTGAACATTACATTGAGCACTCTATTGGATTGTGCTGTATGATGAACATATGAAGAGATTGTTGGATATAATAATTATATCTTCCAATAGTATGTTCACATACAAGCCCAATAGGCGAAAGTATATTTATTTGGGGTCATATGGACTAGATTCCAATAGCCTGCATTATCTCTACGGTTTCTTAAGCTGAAGGTAATGCTTATGAGCATTCCAAACTTGATATCTCTTGGTGTAATACTTTAAACACCTCTAAACCATTCTCTCTCAAACTCATTACCTCAGACAGTGTGTGCCTCACATGATCATGATCATGTCATGTGGCTTAATCCAGTAACTCACGCTCGCTAACGATATAGGACTAGAACCACATGTCGACCATACAAGACTTGTCAAGGTACGACAACTGAAAGTCCCTCATGGCTGATGTGTGAGACTAGTCTTATCTATCAACATGCGTGACTAATGATATTAATTTGATGATATTCTTTTTTTGAACTTGAATCAATCCGATTAATATTTTAATATGCATTATTATGGACAATCACCCTTGAGTTTTGACATACAGAGTAACCAAAACTTAACTATTGCACTAGAATTTTCATGTGACATTCTAATGAACATGATGTTACACCTACTTGAATTTATTGAACGTAGTGATTTTATTTTTTGAATCTCTAATTCATAAATATCCATAATCAATCTAATCTAACTCTTGAATCACTTCCAGCTCCAAATTCAGAGGTCTTGTAGTAATGTTAGCACTTGAATTAGTTGAAGCTGTAGACTCGAAAGGACTGGGGGGCACTTGTAACTTGTCTCCCTCTCCTTGGAGCATCTGCATAACAGTTTTCATGGATGGGCGTTGCACTGGGTGCCATTGGATGCACCAAAGTCCCACTATTGCCAGTTTTTTTGCAATTCTAAAATCTCCCTCTTCATCAATAGGTATATTTACATCTACTCCTTCAAGCAAACTATGTATCCAATCTGGATATAGAACTTGGAAAGTATCTTGAACTGTGTTTACATTCTTTCTTCCTCCAACCATCTCTAACAGCAACATCCCATAACTGTACATATCAGACTTATAAGATACACTGCCAAAGTTTCTAGAAAAAACTTCAGGTGCCATGTACCCTAATGTCCCCCTGGCTGCAGTCATGGACACAGTACTTCGATTTTTTGAGCACAGCTTAGCTAAACCGAAGTCTGTAATTTTTGGAATGAAACTGTCATCTAGCAAGACGTTATGGGGATTGATGTCGAAGTGAAGAATTCTATGATCACAACCCTGGTGAAGATACTCAATTCCTTTGGCTATTCCAACAGCAATTTGTTGCAACTTGTCCCATCCAAGGAAGGTGTCCTTGCTGTTCTGTGGAGAGATGAAATTCTGCAGTGAACCATTTGGAAAAAAGTCATAAACTAAAGCACGATGAGATCCGTCAGCACAGAAGCCAAGCAAGCGAACAACATTGACATGGTGGATTTTTCCCATGGTTCCCACTTCATTTATGAACTCTTTTCCATCTCCCTCTGTGCTATTGAGGGTCTTCACAGCCACCAGAATTTGACTTGATAATTTACCTTTGTAGACAGCCCCATGAGCTCCTTCACCTAATTTGTCCTTAAATTGATGTGTAATTCTCTTGATATCAGCATAAGAGAATCTGGTTGGCTTTAAAGCTCTGTAATCCTTCAAAAAGTTTTCAACTCTTACATGATCTTCCCCTTTCATCCTAAAATAGCAATATAATCGAAAGAAGGCACTGAGCACGAGCGCCAGCACAGTTGAACCTGCGATTACACCTGCAAATTGAACGTTTAAAATCCGTAAAAGTCTAAGCTTTATAATTTTAAAACAAAATCATATTGAGATTGCCCCCTCAAACCAACCCCAAAATCAAACGGAAGTGAAGTGTCACACCTGCGGCGGTTAAAACAAAGGATGTTGGGTTCTTTGATTTGTGCGTACATTCAAAGCATCCATCATCAAAATTTGTTTCGGTCCATACCAATGAGATTGAGTTTCTCATGATCTCAGATTCCAAGAATGGCAAGACGTGGTCAGACAGTTTGGTGCAGGATATTAGGTCCAATTCAATGATACTTTCGTCAGCGTAAGCCACATAAATCGGACAAGATAACAAATCTTGCGCATAGTCTTGTGTTAGGTTACCGTATCTCGGATGTCGTTGCTTCACTGAAGAACAATTAAAGAAACTAATATTGAATGATCCTGTAAATTTGAAGAAAGGTAAAAATGATGAATCGTTGAGTCTAAGAAGGAGTTCCGGAAGACAGTTTTCAGGGTCATATGCTTCTAATGTTTGCAATCTGTAATCAATACGACTGACGACCAATTTTACGGGGACTGGAACTGCAGGAAGCTCAAGCGTCTTCCTGTTTTCTGTACAAGATACACGGATGGGACATGCAATGGAGGGTCCATTCTTAGCATTCCCAACATTCATAAGCAGCAACAATAGCAATGCTAGGATTGTCATCATGTGATACCAAAGCACTTCTAACTTTTCTTACGTGTTATATTAGTGGAGTGACTGATTCCGTGATTCTAATATATCATGTGCGTCCCGGAGAAGGAGATGGAAGATAAAACCATTGTTACCTGTTTGTAATTTTTTTCTTCTTTTAATTAGATACCTGTTTGTAAATTTACCATTGAAAAGAATGCTGTTAAAAAAAAAAAAACGTGATAAAGAAATTTTCCCAATCCAAGTCAATGCAAAGGAAATATTTTTAGTGCTACTCTCAATAAAGTTGTAATAGTTGTAATATTATAACTATATACACCTCCCGAGTATATAGTTATAGTAGCACAGTGGTGGCATTGAGATTATACTAAAAATGCTATCAAATACAAAAGGCTTTGACACAGAGAAAGACAGTTTTGTCCTTTTGACTAGTTCATAATTAACATTGAAAGGCCTCAATGATATACATGTTCCGTTTCAGAACAAAGAAGTGGAAATAAGATTTCAGCATCAATCATGAGCAGAGGGAAATCCTTCTCCTGCTCCGAGGGTTTACTATTATGCTTTCTCCAAATTACAGTTGTACTACTCCAACTACAACAAACTTGTGCTGCAAATAATCACGAAACATGTGTCCCTTCATCCTGCGGCAAAATCACAAACATAAGAAGTCCATTTCGGCTGAAGCATGAACCAGCAAACTGTGGGGATCCGAGGTACGAGGTAGCTTGCGAAAACAACGTGACAATGCTAAATTTGTTTTCTGGTAAATACTATGTGCAGGCAATCAACTACAAAAACTTCACAATCCGGCTTGTTGATCCTGGCATTCAAGAGTCTGATAATTGCTCCTCCATTCCTCGCTATTTTTTATCCGCGTCCAATTTCTCTGATTATTACAACTATGGGAACTACGCGGATCCATATCAAGCCATTCAACTGAGAGCATTTCACCATTCTTTCAATCAATTCCAGCACGTGATTTACTTGAACTGCAGCACTCCAGTGAGGGATGATCCTCGGTACGTGGATACATCTCCCTGCGTCAAGTGGCATTCCAAAGGCCATGTTTATGCTTTCGCTGGGGAGTTGTTCGCTGGAGACTTAAAACCTGATTGCCACGTCAAGATGATTGCTACAACATCCGATTTTGGTTATGCTTCGGAATGGAGGCAGGGAAACAACAAAAACTTTACCTACGATGAAATTCTTAGGATGCTAGTCTATGGATTTGATGTTTCGTGGATGAGTTTTCCTTGTGAACCTCTTCGTTGTGCAATGCTAACTTGCTACTTTAATGAAACAAGCCAGAGTCCTGCTTGTGTGGACAACACGACGTCTGGTTACTGTTTCTCTCCATTGGGATTTTATGTCAGATGTGGTAAGAAGGCCATCATCTTCTTTTTCTTTATGCGAATTGCAATTCATAACATCTAAACCCTTAAACTTCTCCTTAGGGAGAAAAAAATTAGATCCCTTTTCAAAAAAATAAAAAATAAAAATAGATAGAAACACTATTTTTCCTTCTTTTCCCTTTCTATTTTTTTTTATTCCCAGTGGGTGGTACATGAATAACATTTCTCTTTTGCTTTTTCTTTTTTTTATTACATTCACATTTTTATCTCTTCTATTTTGAAAATGTTTTTCTTCTTTACAGAATTAATTAATGTTTATATTTAGTCTATTTGAATTTCAACGAGTCTCTTGAACATGATTTTTATTGAGAATTTTTAACATCAGTGGCAATTTGTTTTGAAGCTCTACTATCAACTCTTGGTGTTTAGAAAATGAGATGCAAACTTTTGGTAAAGTCTTAATGTTTATAGTAAGAGTGTTTAAAATTTCATTTTTATTTTTAAAATCTCAAAGTCAATAGTAGGTGTTTAAAAATTTTCTGACACTGAAAATTAGAAATACAGAAAAATGCTCCGGATCATTCATAATTATTATCATAGTTAAGAGCATATATTGTTTAATGCCTTTTCATCTTTTAGGAGAAGAGAGTAATTTTTCAAGAAGGAAGAATAGTGTAATTTGAATATCTTTTTTTAAAAAGTATAATTTGCCAATTCAAATTACCTCGATAAAGATGTGATGTTAGTGAAAAAGGCAACAAGAAAGTAGGAATTTTTTTTTTGACATCTATAGAGTGGCTTTTTCACCCTCATTAATTAATTAATAATTATTTTGTCCCTGATTCCAAACTATCTACCAATATGCCCCTCTTTAATCGACTATCTTGCATTTTTAATCGATTAAGTGGTCAAAACATACAAAAATGGTTGTTAGGAGATTTAATCGACTAAATCTCTCTATTTAATCAATTAAATCTCCCAATAGGCAACAAAGGGAAACATGTTAGTATGATTTTTTAATCGATTAAGTAGAGAGATTAAGTCGATTAAATCTCCCAACAATCATTTAATCGATTAAAAATGCAAGTTAATCGATTAAAGAGGAGCAAATTGGTGAATAGTTTTGAATCAGGGGCAAAATAGTTATTAATTAATTAATGAAAGACAAAATGGTCAAATAGCCTCTATAGAGTTCTGTACTCTATATTAAAAGGATTTATTGTTGTTCATATTATAGAAAATAAATTTATCTCCTGAGTTCCACACACTTTTATGTGCATAGGAGATATAATTTATCTTCTACAACATGAAAAACATTAAACACATATTAAAATTATACATATCTACAACATAACTTTATAGGAGTCAAAAATTAATTTACATGCCTAAAATAAGATGCTTTGACCCAAAAATTTCTCAAATCAGAGTGCTATTATTATTATTATTATGTTAAACAATGAAATCATATTTAATTCACTCTGATTGATGCCTAAATTTTAGGCTTCCAAAATAAATACCCAGTACACATTCATCTAGAAAAGCAACAAGAAATCCAGTACTTCATGGCTCAATTTATAAACTACTGTACTCACGTTAGTGAATTGATGCAACAAATTTATTCACAGATTGGCACAAATTTTCTTGTTTATTTTGTTATCTTCTCAAAAATTCGAGGGCTAATTTTTTTTTTTTTTTCACTTTCAGGAATTCTGTCAAAGCAGCGCATATTTGCGGAAGGTAAGCAATTTATATCTTTAATAATTTTATTTTATTCGTTCTATAGCACACGTATTTCTTTAATTTCTTTCTTTCTTGCTTTATCTTTTTAAATTTTTTGTTTTTATTTTGACAAAAGATTCACAAACCAGAGTTTCGTTAAAAATTATTGCAAAAATGTAGCATAAGGTTAGGGTGATTTTATACATAATGGTAAATTAAGGGACGCAATCCGTTGACACTACATGAAAAATTTATTTTTGAATTTACTTGTTTTCAAATTTGTGTTGGCAAAACTGATATAAAATAATACATATCGTGTTGCGTGTTAATCCACAAATATAAAATTGATATGCATCTATCTTCTTACACGTTATTTGTGTTGTGTTGTATCGTATACAAGTTATTCGTGTTTTATCTTATCGTTTCAACTCACATATATGTAACACACTTTGAGATTGACAAGTTTTTATGTCGTGTCAACCTGCATATTAAGTGACACACTTTAAGGTTACGAGTTATTCATGTCATATTATGTCAACCCACAAAATGAGCGGATCGTGTTCGTGTCAAAAGTTTTTGTTGGGGTGTTTTCTCCAATTAATGCTTAGTGGTTAAGTATGCATCACATTTGTGGGTGTATGACTTAATGTCTGCACAACAACATGAAGGAATGTTGTCCACCTGATTATTGATGAAGATTCTAGAAGAAGGAGTAAGGTTTCTCTTCATATTTATAAATCATATGAAATCTTCTCTTCATCTTTATAAAAAATATGAAACCTTTCGTAATAGGTTAGCTAAGTGAGATAAATGAGAAACCTCTTAAGAGAAGTTTGAGTAAGAGACCTCTTTAGAGAAGAACTTTGTAACCACAATTGTTGGTGAAGTTTGAGTGTACCTCTGGTATGACTAGAAAAATTTGAATCCTTTGTAATCCTACAATTCATATTGAAAGATTTTTTAGACTAGTGTCTTGTAATTTTTACTTCTCTGCGTTAGAGAAATTTTTCCACATTAAAATTGGTTGTGTTTCCTTCCTATCTCTCTTTCATGCATCTTTTCTTTTTTCTGCGATTTGGTCGACTTGGTAACTATAGGCCGACCTCAAAGTGTCGAGCTGCGAGCTTGACGTGCCAACTTGTGATTTGCTTCTGCACTGTTTGAAGGACCTCGTCCCAATAAAGATATCAGAGCCTGAGTTCGAAGGGTTCTAAAGTGATGAGATGGAGATCAGTGGAATATCCTATGACAGAGATATGTTCAAGCTGACAGCTGGCAACTTTACATACTGGAGACCGATAATGGAAGATCATTTGTTTTGCAAAGACCTCTATGAGTCCATCCTCAAGCGACGATGCCGAAAGGCAAGAATGAAAAAGATTGGGAAATCTTTAATCGAAAGGTCGTGGCCATGATCAGGAAGTATATCAATAAAATCCTCTTTGAGCACCGTTTCAAATTCACCAATGCACATGAGTTATGGACAAAGCTGGAGTCCATGATACAAGAAAACTCTTAGGAATATAGCATACCTAGTTCGCTGCCTTGTGAAGCTAGAATACGAGGGTAACATGAGTATGATTGAGCTTTTAAAAATGTACAAAAGTTTTATGAATCAGTTTTCTAAAGCCAAGATGAAAATTGATGATGAGCTCCATGCTTTCTTACTCCTCAGTTCGCTTTTAGAAAGATGATATATTCTGGTAGTTACTTTGAACAACTCCGCTCCTAAGGAAAAACTGACAATGGACACTGTGACTGACAGCCTCCTAATGAAGAATATAGGAGAAGAGAACGAGGCGTATCCAGCACATCTGACACGAAGGTCTAAGTTTCAGGATCATAGTAAGAGTCGGGATCGTGACAAGTCCATAGGACGATCTAGGCCGAAATACGAACTGATATACTTCTACTGTGTGAAGTCCGGCCACAAGAAGCCTGATTGCTCCGAAGAAAGACCATAAGAGTGGAAATGTAAAGTCGAATCAGATAGAGCCTAAGAAGAAATAAGATAAGAGCACCACTGCGGTGGTTGCCAACTCTAATACTGAGGTCTTCCTCCTATGATCCTCATTTAGTTCATTTCTAACGAATGAAAAATTTCATCACTTGCACTGAAATTTTCCATCACGCTACTATGGCAAGTGTCGTGATGCTAGGTGTTGAGCGCTTAATTTTTTATTTTTAGGAATCAATTACCTTCATCTCTTCTTCAACTTGCTCTCTTATAAGTATGCATGAGTTTTGTAGAAATAAGACAATTATTATTCAAAATTATTAAGTAAACAAGCAAAATACATTAGAATTGATCGTAAAATAATCTTATGGTAAATGTTGCAACCAATTTTCTTGTGGTAGAGGACGATGCTTAGTTTGGGATATGGTATCCAGGTGGCAGGATGAGGCAATGGCGGACCTAGTTGGTCGCCTCTGTCCGCACTTGTGGACATGAACTTCTAATTTTTTTTTTTAAGTATAGTAGTAAATTATGATGTTGGTTAGATTAGGCTTTGTTTGGATATACAAAGAGGGATGAAATGAAATGAATGGAATATGGTAGGATGAAATGAGATGTCATATGTTTTATTGTATATTTTATGATGCCATAAAATAAATCAGCTTGATTAAAAAAAAGTGTTGGGAATAATTTTTGGGTTCGCTTTTTCTACTGTCAATGTAGATAACTTATCTACATTAAGTCCAAAACGACGTCGTTTTGAGGCGGAAATCAAGGTATTTTTGTAAATATAATTTATTTCAGGGTTATAATAGTCTTTTCCATTATAATTTCTAATTTTTCAACTCAAAACGAAGTCGTTTTGGGAGCGAATGTAGATAACTTATCTACATTCTCTGTAGAAACATTAAAGCCATAATTTTTTATGTTAAGTTGAAGTTTTTTTTTCTTATTTATATTTTTTGTTTTTTTAATCCCTGCATGGGAAGGATATTGTAACAATCAAATAGTGTTACTATCAATGTTACTACCAATCAATTTTACCGTTGGATCGATTATGTTGATCCAACGGTTATATTTATTTTCATTTTTGTATGGTTATGATTCATCATATTTAAAGTGAAAGCATTAAATATGGAAAATCATAACCATACAAAGGTGGAAATAAATATAAAATATAAAATATGGAGAATCATAACCACATAAAGATAGAAATAAATATAACTATTAGATCAACATAATCAATCTAACGATGAAATTGATTAGTAATAACACTACTTGGTTGTTATAATATCCTATCCCTTAATGCATTTAAAATTTTCTTTAAATTTTTTTTAAAATATAAATAATATTTTCTGAATCTGCCACCGTGAAATTGGGTGATTGAATATCGTGATGATGGGGCCTTTCCTAGTATATAGGTAACCGAGTTGAGCTCGGACATATTAATCTCTCCTCGGATGAGTGGAAGAACACTTTGGGCCGTAGCAGATCAGAGACAATGGATAGGTAGGCCAGAAGGTTTGATATATATATATATATATATATATATAGGGAAAAGATGAGGGGTAGAACTGTATGTAGTTATTTTATTGATATGACACGGTTCCATTTTTCTCCCTTCTCAACACTCAACAGAAAGCATGTGATGTTTGATTGAGAGATAAAAGGTATTCGATTAAAATTTTAAAAGAATATTTAGGATTACAGGGACTTTAAAGATTTTTTAAAAATATATTCTTAACAATGAAGATTTCATAATATTAGTTTATAAAGAATTTTAATATAATTTATAACATTTGAAAGGACAATATGAATTTATAAAATTTTAAAAAATCATGTGAATTTATAACAAGCATTCGAAATTACAAGAGTCAATAAAAAAATAACAAAGAAATACAATAATATTAATAAAAAAAGTAAAATCTAATATAATTTTTTCAAACAGTAAAATATAATATAATTTTTAACAAACATCAAAATTACTAAATATCAGCTCTCCACATATCTAAAGTTATACTAGTCCTTATGCATTAGCATTTTCTTGTTCTTGCTTTTGGGTTTGACCAATGGATTGAAAATTATCTTCTTCGTTTGGTATCAGAGCTATACATATATGATTATAAGACCCAATTCTTTTTATTTATTAAAATAATTCTAAATTTGCATATAGAACCTAAAGTTCATGATAAAATTTTGTTTGGAATTTTTTACAATTGATCTTGAAAGTCTTGGGATTTTTGTTCTACGTGATGAAATTTTTCTAACCATATATCATATGCATGTTTTTATTGAGTATTAAAAGAAAATTTAAAATCTGAATTTATGAGTTTTATTACATGAAAGTTTAGAAAATTTCTCAAATTATTTTCAATCGGGGCCTTTGAAAAATAAGTTTTTAGTTATCTATTGACACAAAAATTGTTTGAAATCGTTTCCTTTCGTTCATGAATGTATTGTTACGAAATATAGGGTTCATATTATGAAAGTTTTATTTTTCTTTAAATTGATATTGTTTCATTGACGTAAAATGAAAATTGGTTTGAGGATTTTAGTTCCTCTGTTGTTTTTAATACAAAAATAATACATTTTTGTGTCAAGAAAAATTGCAACCCATAGCTTGAAAAATTTGTTTTTAAACTTTCAAAAACTCTCAAAAATCTGTTGTTTTTGAGATGAATTATATTAGAATCTTCTTGGTTTGTTGTTTCTGGGTTGTTTTGTGATAAAAATCGCTCAAAAATCTGCTATTTTTGAGCTTTGACGAAGCTCCCACGGCAGAACCAAATTTCGAGCAGGTCAACCCGCCAAAGGAAGAAGAAGACATTGCAATAGAGAAATCTCAAGAAATCCTAAGGGTTAGGGTGAGATTGTGAAAGAGGCATCCTATTTATATTTCTCACTAAAAAGTCTCATAAAATCTACACCAATAGAAAATCTATTAAAATAGTTAAATTTTTGAATATCACAAGATTGTTTTTCATTTGTTTAAAATCCTAATTGAATATCAACGGATTTGGACAAAATCTAAAATAATCTTTTAAAATTCTAATCGAATACCACGTGACTTTTTTTTCAATCCTTTAAAATCTTAATTGAATACCAATGGATTTTTTTGTTCAAAAATAATCCATTAAATTTTTGTAAAATCTCAATCCAATATATCCCTTTAAAATTTGAGTGCTATAAAGTTAAAGAATATAGACCAACTTTTGTTCCGGTGTCCAATTTTAGGTGTATTAAATCAGTCACTATCGACTTAATAGTTGTAGCTCAGTTAGTAGTAAAGGAGAAAAGAGTTGAGTAGATGAAAAGGAAATGGTTTCAGTTCAATCTCCACATGTCATTTTTGGGAGGAGTTTAAATATTTATACTTGATCTGCCCCGCACTCGGGATTAATCGCTCAAACAGGCTAATTAGGGTTGAATTAATGTATCTTTAGAATCTTTCACCTGAAAAGAAAAAAAAAAGAAAAAAAGAATCATGATCGCGAGAGAGTCTGGGCGTTGCTCAGGCTATTTTACCCAAGGCAATCCTTCACCTCCTCACAACATTTGTTTGAACGTACATTAATAAAAGAAAAAGAATGCATGGTCATATCAGCTTCAACACCTAAATTTAGAAAGTTGGCATAAATGTGTCTTCATATTATGAAAGTAAGTTGTTTGTGGTTACTATTTTTATTTTTTTTCTTGTTAATTTGCAGTCTTCTATGTTATCTCTTCCGTTTGCTGACGTTACAAAAATCTCTTGCAGATATTATATATGGCATTCATAAAGGTAATATTTTATTCATTACATATATTTACATCTCTACAATGTCATTTGTACATTAATTATATCAGTTTAATATTACCATCTATTTTAAGGACGGTCCTTGCAGGATCTATAAACATGAAATCTCTTTTATATGAAAAGGGCATCAATTCTTATACAAAGATTGAAATCAATATTATTAAAACCGACTCGATCATTGACCCGGTCGATGTACTGGATCAGTGGGTCACTGGTTCAACCGCATGACCCGGTAATTATATGCAATTTTTTAATTTATATTAAAAAATTATAAACATACTCAAATATCTAAAAATAATAATAAAAATTTCAAATATTTTAATATAAAAAATAATAATCACATACTATTATCCAATAAAAGATCAAATAAAAATATAATGATCGTGATACGAGGCTTTAAATTCAGAAAATGACATCATCTCTAACTATAAATCAAATCAAAATTTTCTGCATAATGAACAATTGAGATAACATTAGTGTTGTAGGTACATAACTTATGTAAGTCAATAAGCAAAAAAATATTCAAATATGTCCATTATATTTTATTTTTTTAAATTAGAATTTTTTACCGGGCCGGGTCATCGGTTAACCGACCGGGTCGGACCGGATCGCACCGATTCTGATGCATGGTCGGTTCGTTGCTTCAACCGGACCGGTTATATAACCGATTTACCGGTTCCCAGGTCGGTCCGGTTTTAATAACTATGATTGAAATAATGAGTCAATAGCATAAAATTTTTAAATCATAACAAATAGTTATTTTGTCAATAAGTTTAGAATATTAAAAACATCAACAAAATAAATATGTTCCTGTTAATGATTTTCATATTAAGAGAAATTATTCAACCTATTTTTATTGAAAAAAAGTATGTCAAATTATCATGAATTAAGTTATAATAGTTATAATTTTCTCAATGTTTATGAATAATCTCAATTATAATTGACAAAAGTACAAAAACGAGTAAATCCTGTTTTTTTATTTTTGTTCTCTAAAGAATTTTTATTTTCTCAGTTGTTTATGAATAATCTCAATCAGTATTGACTAATAATGTTGTGTAAACATTTGATAGAAAGGGTAAATCCTCTTTATGAGTCTTATAAAAATAAAAGTGTGATCACCATGGTTCTCTAAAGGATTTTGTATCAATTTAGTACTTCAATAATGGAAAATGATATCAAAAACATTTTTTGTGTACATATTGTGAGGAAACTTAGGGACTAAATTGATGGTATTTTCAATAATTGACGGAATAAATTGATGTTAATTTTTTTGGAGGCTTAAATAGATTTAATTTCATTGATTTAGAAATGAAATTGATATCTTTGGGAGGGGTTTAAAGCCTTAATCCTGGACCCGCCCCGAATCAGACTAATCGCGAAGTGATGAACCGATGGAATATTTCCAAAAAAAAAATTGAAATTGATATCAAAATTTTTAAAAGAATAAAATAATAACAATTATCTTTGTTTGACTAAAAAATGAATTTACATGTATATAAAATAAATAAATGATAGGTTGCCCTATTTTTTTTTTTAAATTACATAGCATTTGACTGCTAGGATGCTTTAAAAAGATTTTTATACATAATCTTCACATTTTGGAAACAAATAAATTTCATGTTGTTTGCATGATTCTATCATATTTTACTGCATGTATGTAATAAAAAATAAAATTAAATGAAAAAGTAGGTTACCTCTGTCCTTTCTCCTAGTTTTGAATGCTACGTAACAATGTTATAAGTTATTGTTTTACAGGACTACTACAAATAATAGGTCGAAAATTAGGCGATCCAGCTTCCACAGGCATTCCAGATTCTGAACTTGGTATTGAGATAGGAAGAGTCACGGGAAGGTATGTCTGGCTAACATATACAATGGTGAGATTTACGTTGGGTCTCATAGTTTTCTTTGTGGTATTGACATATACATGTCGAAGAAGACATAGATCAACGTATGAAAATATTGAAGATTTTCTGCGAGGGAACACCCTCATGCCAATAAGGTATTCATACAAAGAGATAAAGAAGATGACTAGAGATTTTAAGCACAAACTTGGTGAAGGAGGCTACGGCTCTGTTTATAAAGGAAAACTACGCAGTGGGCCTTTTGTAGCCATAAAGATGTTGGGAAAAGCTAAGGCTAATGGGCAAGATTTCATAAATGAAGTCGCAACCATAGGAACAATACATCATGCCAATGTGGTGCGACTTATTGGATTTTGTTTCGAGGAATCAAAACATGCTCTTGTTTATGAATATATGCCCAATGGTTCTCTTGATAGATATATTTTATCCAAAGAGGATGATATCTCTTTAACTTATGAGCAAATGTACGACATATCTCTTGGAGTGGCTCGTGGTATTGCTTATCTACATGAAGGCTGCGACATGCAAATTTTGCATTTTGATATCAAGCCCCATAACATACTTCTTGATGAGAACTTTATCCCTAAGGTTTCAGACTTTGGTCTTGCAAAGCTTTATCCTATTGATAATACCATTGTCACTTTGACTGCAGCAAGAGGAACAATTGGTTACATGGCTCCTGAATTATTCTACCAAAACATTGGAGGAGTATCCTACAAGGCTGATGTGTATAGCTTTGGAATGCTTTTGATGGAATTGGCAAACAGGAGAAGAAACTTGAATCCACATGCAGATCATTCAAGCCAAACTTTTTTTCCCTTTTGGATTTATAATCAATTGATTGAAGAAAGGGAGATAGAAATGAAAGATTTTACCAATGAGGAAAAGAATAATGTGAAGAAGATGTTCATAATTGCACTGTGGTGTATACAGTTGAAACCCAGTGACCGTCCTTCAATGGACAAAGTAATAGAGATGTTGGAAGGACATGTTGAGTGCATTGAAATGCCTCCGGAGCCTTCTTTTTATTCGACTGAAATGATTCAAGGAGATCTTGAAATCAACTCTGACCAAACTATATCAGATGATGCTGCTGGCTCTGTTAGTATTCTTGAAGAAAGTACAGAATATCCTTTATTGAGGTATTCTGCTTGATAATCGTTTATAGATTGCTTTGGTAATTACATTTCTTAGTTATCTACTAAAGAAACCAATCAATTACCGTTGACGTGATGGTAAAATCTAGATTTTTCATTATAATTAGTTTAAATTTTACATGTGAATTCTGCATATATATTTGTTGTTTCTGAATCTTGTTAGCACTTCTGATTGTCGCCTCAATTGAGTATCCAACCTCTAACGGAGACAATCCTTTACAATTGAGTAACATATATTGTAAAATTGACACAAAATCACATCAAGAAAGGGACTGCAACAGTAATGTCATGAAAAGAGGGAAACAAATCTACAAACCGCAAAAAAGAGAGAGCATTTAAGGACTAGGAAAATAGTATAGTTTATGAAGATTGGAAAACCGAGAGACACGGTCAATAAAGGGCACTGCAACAGTAATGTCATACTAAAAAAAGGCAAAGCAATCAACGAAATGCAAAAAAGTACAGAGCACATAAGAATTAGGAAAAGAATATAGTTTATGAAAATGGAAAACCAAGAGACACGGTCAGGGGAATTTTATTTGGCTCGTCCCACTGCTGGACTGATGATAATCAATTGACATATAACATAAAAAGCAGGACACCTTTGTAGCAAAGTAGAAAGCAGAAAAAGAATAGGAAAACAAATTTTTTGCTTGTTGAATTAAGCTGAAAAAACAAATACAATTATACAACATTATAATTTAAACATGAAGTAGGATAAGATATAGATTTTAAAGCACCAGATACTCATATTTAAACCATCCTAGAATTTTACCATGGAAGACAATGTATAGAACTCTAGAATGTCTACTGTCATGTCCTAATTCATCTATGCTCTACTGCTCGTAAATGTATACAACTAGTCTTAAGTCCGTGCATAAATAAGTTCAGATTATGAAATATATATTTGTCACCAAATAATATCAAGCGAGGATATAGAAAACCCAAAATAGCATAAATCCATTAAGGACTTTAACAATAATCAACTCCTTCACTTAAAACTTCAAAGTAATCCGACATTGTCCCTTAAAGAAAGGTGCGTATGAGATGATGAGAAACTATTTTGAGTACAAAAGTCAGAGGCTAAGGAAATGTCCGAAATGACAGGAAGTAGTTTCTTAAGAAGCTTGAAATCAAAATAAGTTAATATCGATGGAGTACAAAAGCCCAACGTGAGTTATGTCCAAGTGGATACTGTAGAGATAAGCCCTCTCATGCAAGTAGTCAAGTTTATTTGCAGTCCCTACAGCAATGGCATACAAGCACCAGGACGTGCTCCTGTAACATCGATCTACCTGCACGTAAATGGAAATGATAAAATGCAACAATACATCATGATGTGCCCATTATATTCCCAGCCTCATTACTTAAGCATTGCCTCTCCTTTTTTTGTGTAGTTGGGAAAGTGGAAGATACTAAAAATAACCAACTTCGTCGTAAAAGAAAAAGGCAACAATACAACATATTTAACAGAGATAGAGAGAAGCACCAAGAGTTGATATGACCCAATCAATTATAATTAATTAAGTATTATATTCATATAAATTAACAATCAAAATTTGGTGTCAAACTTATATATATATATATATATATATATATATATATATATATATATATAAGGTAGGATCCTTTGATATCAGTATTAAATTTGAAATTTGATACCTCGTCTGAGAGTCATTAGATATATATATATATATATATATATATATATATATATATATATATATGTGTTAGAATCCTGTGACATCAATATAAGTTACACTTTCAATCTTGTCCATTAATCTCACTTAAACATGTAAGTCATATGAAACGATCTTTGTTGATTGATAAATCAATAGTTATTATTTTATTTTTTTTCATTCTCTAGCCTTTAGGACTTTTTCTCTCTCTATCTCATTGCCATTAATTTTTGTAATGAAGAACCAAGATCACTTCAAATCAGTGTTTTAAAATTCTGCCCCACCGCTGGTTGACCCGGGTCAACCCTGACCCCTCCATTCTGAGGGTTGAGGTCACAAGTTGGACCCTTTATGCACATCGACCCCTCCGACCCCCAAAACTCGGCCAGATTTCAGTGACTCCCGGGTCAGAGGGGTCAAAGGGGGTCATTGCATGAGTTTTTTTTTGAAAAAACAAAAATCCATAAAACAATATTATTTTATTAAATAAATAAATAAAATACTTGCAAACCTAAATCTAATCGTTTTCTTCTCTTCTAATGACCTAGACATTATCAATCTTCACCTCGCTGCCGTGAATTTTGTAGAAAAGGTAAGAATTTTACCTATTCAAAGGAAATCCTTACGGTTGTCGATGGAAAACAAAAATTCATTCTTACTTCATTTATATTTTTCTTTGCCAGAGACCATCTCAAAAGAGACAGAACCGGGTCAGCGTAGTGAAATATTGACTTGTGGTTATAATTGGTGAATTATGTTAAGTATATTTTGAATCTTTGATGATTGGTGATTTGTTTTTTAATATTTTTATATAAGATATATATATTTATATTTTTTTAATATATAAAACCGAGTCAGCTTAATGACTCCCTGACCCTCCGATTGAACCCGTGACCCCTGACCTCAGTCGGGTCGATGGTCGAGCCAGGTTTTTAAACACCGCTTCAAATGACTCGGACATTTTAAATAAGGAAAAAATGTTTATCCTTTTAAATGACACAACTTATATCCTTTCATTCTCACAAAGAGGTGGGACCTACACTTTTATTTTTTTGTCAACTTTCTCTCCTCCTTTATCTATCTCTTTCTCTCTCTTAGAATGACACAACTTTACATCCTTTAAAATGATACAGACTTGTTATCAAAAAAAAAAAATGATACAGACTTTACCCTTTAAATAATATAGGAAATGATCCACTTCCAAATTATTTTAATACGAATGTTTAAGGATTTAATTACTGTGTGGGTTTGTATAATTAATTAATATTTTTAATACTAATATTAATAATGTATTGATAAATTATTAAAAAATAATTATCATGATAACCAGACTTATTTTAAGTAACAATATGTAATAAGTTGATAATATAACTATAATAAAGTAAAACTAAATCCTAAATAAATATGGGTTTAATGATACTGCTTTTGTAATAAAATAAATTTCCGCCACATACACTCTTATCTTTATAATGAGATTTACTAATTTTCATACGTGTATGACAAAAAAAAATTCATCAATTAAAACAGAATATTTTCACAATAAATATGTAGGAATAAGATCAACTTACACTGATGTAAAAATAATAAATTTTACACCAAATCTTAACCGTTGATTTTAGTGTATTTAACAGTTGAGATTTATTAAGAATTAAAAATTATTTAATAAGTGAGACCTAATAAATTTTAATCATTAGATGCAAAAAATCAATAATTAAAATTTAATATAAGACTTATTATTCTTACGCCCATATAAAATAATATTCCATACCCAAATATATATGTATGAATGTTATTAGCCATAAAAAAGTATATGGAATTATTTAAGGAGGGGGTATTTTGACTACCAAAAGTGTCCACTACCACCTTACTACCTATCAAATCACCATTGGATCAAAGGGACATAATGTTAAAAAAAAATTGAAAAAAGAGAAAATATTAATTCAATAGTGATTAAATAAGTAATAAAGTAGTAGTAAAAACTTTTGAGAGTCAAAATATCCAACATCTTCCTTTTAAGATACCAACGCTTAAAACTTAATCTTTAAGATACCAACGCTTAAAACTTAAAAGTCAACATTTGGACTTAGACATCAATTTCCGTCCAATAAAAATATCTTATCTTGATAGTTGCGTAGCCCATTTCGAAATGTCAATAATTATTTTCAGCAGTCCACCGTAGCCAAGAGAGAGAGAGAGAGAAGCAAAGAACATAACCCAGGAAACAATGGAAAGGAAAGCAATATCCTCAGTAGCTACTATTCTTCTCCTATTCCTACAAACCTGTCCTGCTTCCTCTGTCTTACCCATCCACCATTGTCCTGCTTCCTCCTGTGGCAATACTCCCAACATAAGTTACCCATTTCGACTCTCAACCGACCCACCCAACTGCGGCGACAAGAGGTACGAACTATGTTGCGAGAACAACGCAACAATTTTAACTCTGTTTTCGGGGAAATACTATGTACATGAAATCGATTACAAGAGATACACAATCAGAGTGAGTGACGCGGGTGTTGTGGAGGACACTACTTGCTCCTTTATCCCCCGCTATTTCTTTTATTATAGCAATTTCAGTCAAAATATCTTTGGTCCTGGAACAGATCTGTTAAATTTGGAGCCTTTTGATGTTCCGAGAATAGCATACTTCAACTGTACCAATCCAATCACAGATGATCCTAGATATGTGAAGGTGGATACCACTCGTTGTGGCACGAGAGGGCATATCTATGCTGTTCTAAAAAATTCATCAAATGATTTTAGTGTGATGGACATCAAAGTTGGATGCCAACTGAAGGTGGCTACTTTTGGAAATTGGGGGACAAAGAAAGATCACAAAAATAAGAAAAACGTTTCCTATGATGACATCCACAACATGCTGGCTTATGGATTTGGGCTGTCTTGGTTAAATGTTATTTGTGAAGCTCAATGCGGAGAGGGGAAGGGTTGCAGTGTTATCAATGAATCCAGCGGTCAAATCCAATGTGACTGGCTAAAATGTCGTTATATCTACCGGAAGAATGAAGTCGCCCATTATTGCGGTAACAACACATACTTTTTATATATTTATTATCATTATTTTTTGGTAGTCATTTTTTTTTTTTTTTTTTTATAACAGCACATAATTTCGCTAACGCTCATTTATGTTTTTATAGCTTTCTATTTTTTTTATTTTGAGTATTTTCTATTTTATTTATGCTACTAGATGATCAATATTTATATATTTGTCTTTTATCAAGGAGTAATGTTACTTTTCCCGTAAAATTAATAATTGTTTACACATGAAAAAAACATGTTTTATAGCTCATGTAACTCCCATCACTCTTCTATCAAGGAGTAATGTTACTTTTCCCGTAAAATATAATTTGCAAAAATTAAGACTTGTACAACTTAAAATTTATGATTTTAGATTAAATTATAAGGTTTTATAAGAGTTATGTCGTAGAAAAAATTGACTGTGTAATCGCGTCTTAGGTTTTTTTTTTGTTTCAAAAGGTGTGGGTCCCATAAAATGTTGTGTGTGTAAAAAAAAAATTTGTGTCATGTTAAATGATAGATGCAAACCCCTAACTTATAAGCTTATAACTTGTAGTCTTGTACAATTCTAGTTTGTCGGCTGAATTTTCCTATAAAAGTACGGGTTTAATGTTTAAGTTATCTACTGCTCGGATAAAAAATATTAATCCGAAAAAGTACTGCAATTTTATACAGTAATATAATAGCCCTCACTAGTAGTTATGGATTTAATATTGAAGGATAAGTATAAAGAAAAAGAAATAAGTCACCTTTGGTGAAAAAAAAGAGTTAAAATGACAGTAAAGTAGTAAAAATGCGGGTAAATAAAGTTATCCAAAAAGTGAAAGTAAATATAAAAAAGTGACTAGAAAAATATTCTAGTCCATAGGGTAAAGTTTGGTAATGAATGGAGGTGTGTAGATAGATAAGCTTATACCCACTGATAAAGTAAACTCATTAATTGACTCAATTAAGTCACTATTCTCCTTCTTCTACGTTTCATCCGACGACAGTAAGGGAAAGAAAGAACGGAGATTTTGGTTTTAAATCTTCCAAAATTCATAACTTGAGCTAGAGACCTCCAAATCACTCCGTTCCAAAGCCAAACCTGTGAGAAATTTCGAGAGGAACCTATTGGTACCAATATTTCTGGGTGGGGTTCACTGTAGAGAGAGATCTTCTCCCCAAAGATTTCGAATTTCATGGAAAAGATAGATTTTGATGGAGCTTGAGGCCATGGGAGCTTAGGAACTCATCTCTCCTTTGTTCTAGAGTGCATTGTGGTAAGAAATTCCCTTCCTTTTCATGTTTTTATGAAGATTGAATTTAGGTTTTCATTTTGAAAATTTGTTTTGATTGAGCATGTTAGAGCTTGATTCAAGTTTAGCTCATGTTGAGAAAAATGTTTAGATGAGAATTTTAACGGTGAAAATGTATTTGAAAAAAATTAAAGATAACGTATTTTTGAATAGTGTCGTATACGTGAATAATGACGTATACATGAATAGTACTGTAGAGAGGAACAGTACTGTATATATATGAATTAATGAATCTTGGATTAAAGGTGTGTGATAAGCTTGAATTTGATGGACTAAAGCATTGGAATCATGAAGTTGGCATGATTTCTTGTATGTGCCTCTTAGCCATTTTCAAAGGAAGTATGTGCTATGAGCTACTGTTTTACAAAGCGAGCATAATTTTATGCGTGGAATAATATTTTAAGGTGTATAGACCTTCGCTTTGGTGAAATAAAAAAGAAAATAAGGTAGCTCCTTTGTATGGCCTTAAAATGAGTTTTGGCCATTTTCAAAGGAAGTATATTTGCGGAGATATTGTTTCGCAAAGTAAGAACACTTATATGTGTAAAATAATTTATATAGGTGGCTAAGCTTGGGTTTAGGCACTAGACAAAGAGAAATCTTATAGCTCCTTTGTAATGGGCATTCTGCCTTAAATTGGGAAAAATAGGCTTTTAGGTGGTAAGAGGAGTAATGAGTGTTCTAAAGGCCTTTTGGGACTATCCTAAGACTAAGTGAACATGTGGAATTTTGTAGGGATTTGTTGAACAAAGAACCACCCACTCATGACTTAATATGATTAAGTAAAAAGAAAATAAACAATAAAGTATGTGTCTTGTATATTTACATGGCATTATATCATTTTATTGAGTTTTGTGTTGAATTCCTTCTCTAGGTGTGCCTAGAGACTGTGAACGTTTGGATTCTCGTGGAGCAAGATAAATAGCTTGTTCTTCAAGTAAGCAAATTGTAAAGCTCCAAGAGGTAAGCTCTATGTTTATGGGGTTTGCTCCTACTTTGTGTTCCGCCATAGTGTACGGACTGTGGTCAGGTTGTATGATATGTATGAGATATATGATATAGATGCATTCATATAGAGCTATATGATAATATGATATGTTTTGTTTTGATGTATTTACTTTGATATGTGTTAATATGATATGTTTTGTTATGATATGACTTCTGTAATATGATTTCTGTAACAATATCTGGCCATTGATTGTATAGTACCCGGATGTTCGCTTTGGGGTCCTCCCTCGGGACTGATGGTGTACGCCTCTGATATGTTCTGGTTCCGCTTTGGGGTCCTCCCTCGGGAACACGTGCGTTGATTTCCGCTTGGGGTCCTCCCTTGGGAATGACTGCGTACGCCTCTGATAGGTTCTGGTTCCGCTTTGGGGTCCTCCCTCGGGAACACGTGCGTTGATTTTCGCTTGGGGTCCTCCCTCGGGAATGACTGCGTACGCCTCTGATATGTTCTGGTTCCGCTTTGGGGTCCTCCCTCGGGAACACGTGCGTTGATTTCCGCTTGGGGTCCTCCCTTCGGAATGACTGCGTACGCCTCTGATATGTTCTGGTTCCGCTTGGGGTCCTCCCTTGGGAACACGTGCGTTGATTTCCGCTTGGGGTCCTCCCTTGGGAATAACTGCGTACGTTTCTGATAAGATATGTGTATATGTTTTGTTTAGTTATGATATTTGATTACATGACATGTTTTATGGGATATGTATGATGATTTTGTAAATGATATTTGTTACGTACGTTGATTTCCGCTTGGGGTCATCCCTTGGGAACGATTGCGTACGTCTCTGATATAACACGTTTGTTCTGATATGAGTATTGTGATGATTTTTGTAAAAGATATTTGTTACGTGCGTTGATTTTCGCTTGGGGTCATCCATTGGGAATGATTGCGTTTGTCTTTGATAAGATATGTATATATGCTTTGTTCAGTTATGATAATTGCTTATATGATGTTTTGTATATTATGTATCTGACTGTCATGCAGGAAGTGAGCCCAGGGTATGGAGGGTTTTCCATAAACCTGGAGTTTACTAGAGATTCGTCTCTAACCCCGTTTGGGGATATGATTTCAGTAACACAGTTAATTGAAGAGCCTCATGGGACCAGGACACTAACCGTGGCTAGAGGTACTAGTATGAGGATGTGGAGTTCTGGGTGGTCGGATGCTACTATTTGTTTTAGACGTATTTTTGGAAAAGATGTATTGTTGCATAGTGTTCATATTCGATACATGTACATTTATGTATTCAGGCATGATGATATGACTATGTAGTATTCAGTTATGTTATGTATTGGATTGCATGCTATTAGATTTGTGGCACGGAGCCAAGTTCAGCATGCGCCCATAGATGGGTATCTGAGTATATTTGCATGACTGGTACTTCTGGAAATATATATTGTTTAAACTGTCTATCAGGAACTCTTGAGAGTGGGATTGAAAAATCCCCAGTTGTCCGATTTACAGAGGTTACTCTGTTCGATTTTCGTCTCCGTAAAATAAGAATTAAATTAGAAGAAGCATGCAATGTGATATGTCATGTGAAAAAGGATTAAAGAAAAAGAAAAAGTTAGTTCGTATTTTCGTAAGTTAAGTCTTCCGCTGTTTCTGTTAAGTATCATATGCATGTTAATTGAACCGGCTCGAGGTTGGGGATGTTACATTTATGGTATCAGAGCAGTTGCTCTAGGGAGTTACATGATATATAGCATAAAGATATTTGAAGTTGGAAGCTCTTGAGTGTTTTCTTGGAGTGCTGTATAATGCATGTGTGATCACTGAGTGTGAGCGTAGCTAACTCATTCCTTAGTGTAATATATGCAGAGATATGGTTCCTCCAAGGAGAACTCGTAGAACCTTTAATAATCATGATCCACCACCGGATCATGTTGTAGCGATTTTGGCTGCACTACAGCAGACTTGGACTGCAACTAGGCAGAAAGAGCTTGAATTAATAATGAAGCATTCAATTTGACTGTGATAAGGATGAAATTTCGAATTTTCGTCAGAGAAGGAAATTGAATTTACAATCGAATTGTTACCTGGCGTGGGGCCTATCTCTCTTGCCCCATACCGGATGTCACCTCTGGAATTATCTGAATTGAAGAAGCAGATCGAAGACTTGTCTAGTAAGAATTTTATCAGACGGAGTGTATCTCCGTGGAGAGTCCCGATGATCTTTGTTAAGAAGAAGGACGAGTCTATAAGATTGTGTACAGATTACCGGCAGTTGAACAAGGTTACTGTCAAGAATAAGTATCCTTTGCTGTGTATAGACGATTTGTTGGATCAGTTGCGTAGTGCGACTATATTTTCTAAGATTGATCTTCGGTCCGGGTATCATCAAATCCGGATAAAGTCGGATGATGTTCCGAAGACAGCTTTCAGGTCCTGATATGGGCACTACGAGTACCTGGTTATTCCTTTTGGGCTTATGAATGCACCAGCCGTTTTTATGAGTTATATGAATCGGATCTTTAAAGCCTATCTGGATCAATTTGTGGTTGTCTTTATTGATGACATACTGATATATTCAAGGAGCAAAGAAGAGCATTCTGATCATTTAAAGATTGTTTTGCAGATTCTGAAAGAGCATCAGTTGTATGCTAAACCGTTAAAGTGTGATTTCTAGCTTTCTGAGATACAATTTCTGGGCCATGTCATTTCATCTGAAGGAGTGGCAATGGACCCGAGTAAGATTGAAGCAGTGTTAGATTAGGAGCGTCCTAAAAATATTACAGAAATCAGGAGTTTTCTTGGTTTGACTGGATATTACAGGCGTTTTATTGAGGGATTCTCACGGATGGTACTACCTTTGACACGGTTAACCCGTAAGGGGAACCCATTTGTGTGAACCCAAGAATGTGAAGTGAGTTTTCAGGAGTTAAAAAGGAAGTTGACTACAGCTCCGGTATTGATATTGCTGGATCGTACCAGTAAATTTGTGGTGTATTGTGATGCTTCTAAGTTTGGGTTAGGCTGTGTTTTAATGCAGTTTCGTCAGGTGGTTGCTTATGCTTCTCGGCAGTTAAAGCCGCATGAGGAGAACTATCCGACACACGATCTTGAGTTGGCAGCCGTAGTGTTCGTATTGAGAATCTGGCGACACTTTCTATACGGGGGCCGATTTCATTGTCTACAATGACCACAAAAGTTTGAAGTATCTGTTTGATCAGAAAGAGCTGAATATGAGACAACGTCGAGGGGTGGAATTCCTGAAGGATTATTATTTTGAATTGCAATATCACCCCGGTAAGGCTAATGTAGTAGCAGATTCTTTAAGCAGAAAGGCGCTTGGTATGGCCAATTTGATGATTTCTGAGTATAATTTGATTGAGAAATTCAGGGATCTCTATATTCCTGTGAATACCGAGGATAATCCGCATTTATTGACTACTATGGTAGTCCAGAACTCATTAGTTGAGCGGATCAAAGAAGCTCAATTGCTTGATGAAGAGATTCAGTCCATGAAAGAACAGGACTTTGTGTCCACTGATAGGTTCGGTCTTAAATTTTACAAAGATCGGATCATTGTTCCGAAGGGTCAAATGGTGCATGAGGTGTTAACTGAGGTCCGTATGGGTAAGTACATTATCCATCCTATTGCTACCAAGATGTATCAGGCCATGAAATCAAATTTCTGGTGGTCTGGTATGAAGAAAGATATTGTTCAGTTTATGAATAAGTGTTTGATATGTTGTATATGTGCATATATGATTTTTGATGTAATGATGATATATGTTATGAGAATCCTGGTCAGTGACCTTGGTATGTTGACTGCCTATGGCTTTGACCCTGGGAGTTATTTTCATACTCCAGTTTGAGTACAGTTTGTGTTGATTGCCTATGGCTTGACCCTGGGAGTCACACTAGACATGTGAGACATGTCAGTTAGCTATTCTTGGGGAGAGCCCTTGAATAGTTAACCAGAGTATTAGTTATGATGTGATGTTTTGCATTTAGCAT